TTCATTGATAAAATACCATCAGATTTGAGTGTGCAACTGAGAAAAAAACAGCAATTATATGTATCATGCTTCTTCTATTTTCGGAGATAAGCATTTGACGCTTTTTCATTTACCTAAAATTAGAATTTTTTAAGTACTACTGCAATAAAACGAAAAACTAAGAACTGAAACGATCGTTTGTAATTTTTTTCAAGACAGGTCAGTGAATATTAATTGCTTAAAAGGTCTAAAAATTAGCTTAATATTCTTTTTTGACCGATATAAGAAACTATCGATCTTATCCATCAGCAATGTCTCGACCCCGGCTCCGACGCTCATTTCAGCACCCAATTTTCAATGGCTCACGATCGAATAGATAAATAGCTCGTATCAATTTGACAATTGCTTGACGTATTCTTTCGGAGCGTCAAAGAAAAAAAGAACACGACGCTTTTTCAATGAGACAGCGCTGACCGAGCGCACGCACTGCCTTGCACGCGCTAATAAAGGTTAACAAGTTCTGCTTTACTTATTTCGCTCAGTAAAGATCAATTCCGATTGCGAAGAGAGAGCTCGACTTGTTAGTTCGACACACTGACTTTGAGAGCGTGTATTCTTAAACCAGCGCCGTTGGCCTTGATTTTTTAACATTTTACGACTGCATGGAGCAAGTTATTTTTTTTCGTTTAAAAAGTAAAAGTTGCACAAGTTTGGAATGCCGAAAAAAACTTGCTAATTACATTTTTTCGCGAAATATTACACTATTGGACGGTTTGAATTGCGACGTACTGTGTTATGGTTACGCTCATCTCCGTCAATTTACACATTTCATTGTCATCGCCTCGTAGTAAGCGAATTATGTCAATAAGGCAGAAAACATTTACCCAACAAGAGCGCACGCGAGCAGCTGATCAAAGATCGATACATTTTCCGCGATTTTTTCGCGGGAAATCGCGCGCAGGAATCTTTGTTTCTTGTACCGCCGAGTATATGCCGGAACATTTCGCGCGATGCAACGACGATAAAATGCCCCGCAAGAGGTAAACAAAATGAGAAATGACTGTACGCGATGCGATTGCTGCAACCGAGCGAGATGCATAGAGGAAAAAAAGTGCGCGGTCGATCGGTTCGAAAATCGATACGACATATTACGGTGCGCGAGCGAATTTCGCCTCGGTGTGCATGTGGTTTTCGGACGAGTTTCGTGGGTAAAAATAACCGCGTACTGTCGTGGATCGGTCTCCTCCTTTCTCGAGTCTGTATCGCGTACACTGACGCAGATTAGGATGATCGTTGCGTCAGACGTTTGGTATATACGAAGGGTTGTCGCGGGCGTCCAGCTGAAGCGATCGCTTTCAACTGCTACACTCGGTCTCAACCGATAAAAAGCTTGTTATACGAGATTAACCTTGAACGTATCGCGCCAAGTGTCGGCTCTTCCTTCGGTTTGGCTTTACTTTAATTTATACGCAGGGGCGTTGAAAAATGTAAGATATGCGTTTGCCGAGAGAAGAATGAGAGACCGAGGGGGGAAAAAACGAGCGACCGATATCATTTGCCTTTTTTAATGGAAGCATCAAGGCCACGAGCTTTGTATTTTACGATCGAGGCACTTTATTTTACTTTTTTTCAAAACAATTTAACGAATTCGAAGCAAATGTTTATTTATATCGGTTATCAGGCGAGTGTAAATTTTGGCGGCGTTATAGGAGGTGACGAAAATCGATGAACTTTTGAACCGCCCGCGCGAGGGTCATCGAGTTGACAAAACAGCAGTGGGCGATTTCACGCCGTCAAGATACTTTGCACTCGTTCTAATGCTTTTTATGACTTTCTCGGAAAAATTAATTTTTCCGTTGCCATAGGCGACAGCCTAGACGTTTCAAAGACGTGAAGTGTCGCAATTTCGATGATAATTCAATGTTCACGGCTGATATGTTCTCTCTGATAAGCTACTTTATTACTTTACGTTCGCCTTAGCCAATGGTAATTACACAGCGTGGTCTATGCCGTCGTTAATGAGAGACTAATTTGTTCATTAATTTACGATCCAATCAGGTTAAGACGACACGCCATTAATATCTTCGTTCAAATTAAAGGACTACCGTATAAACTTTTAGTTAAAAAAAAATAGGCTAATATTCGATACTATGCGACACAGGGACAAAAGAGCAACTCGATAAAAGTCAGGCAAGTAATAAAATTGTCTGTCAAGTGCCTATCTATACATGCGTGCATTTTGCACGCGTAGATATACGTCATGTGTCATCGTGAAACAGGCTAATGTGTGACTACAAAGCAATGTACAAATGAGTCAAACATCATAAACCAATTGTAGAGCCGAATTTCCAATGAAATTTTTTCAAAGAAAGAACTTGATTGTGTTGATGGATTTTGCGCTTGCCACGTTGTCGCGTACACACTACATATTCCTAGCCCCCATGAATTCTATATCAGAATTGTCAGTTGTATTTACACAAGCGATATGTATAGACAGATTCTTATTCGGGTACCCACGCACCTATACAAGCAAGGGTCTCACGCGCGCCGTGTACATGTGGACGAATCAATGAAACAAGCCCCTTCGTTTAAATACGAAACGTGTTTTTGAACAGATCCCACAGCTGAAAGAATTTCTAGGTCAAATTGTACATAAAAAATTTTTTTTTCTTGAAAAAGTCAAATTAAGAGGCTCGCCTGCGCGCCATTCACGGGCGACTCGTAACGGTCTCGGAATTTCTATAATTTTTTTTCGCTGCATTCAATATGCTTTGTCGAGAGCCTCGTTATGTACCTCGTAGCAAATAATTTTTATCGTTTGAATTTAGAGGTCGACGACCCGCTAATGAAGCAGCGCTCGGTGTATAGGTCAACTAGCGAATTGTTATGTAAAGCGATTTTTTTCTCAAAAACTTTGAATGATTTTCGGATTTCACGTGAAAGCGTTCATCAAACCTACGGAAATTTACGGCATTTTGGTTTCGCGCTTCAAGCTTTCGATTTTATTTATGGACATTTTTTTATGGTCCTTGTTTCGACTCGGCATGACATAATTCAACAAGGAATGGATTGTCGATAATCAAGCTCATACAAAATTGTATACTACTTGTTATTTTTCGAATTCTTTATATAGTCATTCAACTAATTGAATCAGAAAATTAACATTCGCGCGTTAACTAAAGTTTATAGTCATTTTGTATAGCTAGCGTTACAGCTTAATCATTTCCGTATTTGTCATTTGCTTGACATTGGTTTTGACAAGTATTTTCGAGGGCGGAAGGAAGTACTTTCCGTTAAGATGAAGTTTTTTGAAGCATTTTGAAATGTACGAGTGGGGGCCCCGCGGCAACGAAAGCGTGAAACATTCCGGTATTTCGGCAAGCGAATTCGACGAGTGAACTCGAGCGAAGAATACTCGTTGCAGCATAATCATCGAGTGAGAAAGAAAGCGAAAGAGACACTCGAATAAATTAAGAGTCTGCGCGGCGTTGCTCCCTCGTCGTCGTCGTCGTCGTCGAGTCTTGCACGACAAATGTGCGAAATATGTATACAGGGTTATCAGGCCGGCCGATTTCGAAACAGCTCACGAGTGCGATAAAAGTGTATAATATGAAAAACGACATGGAGCAGTTGCTATACACAGCTAGCCACTGCCGCGGATGCGTATAATATGCAGAAAGCCTCGACTCGAGATATCAGCTGCTTGTCGAGCACCGAGAGCTGCGACTGCTTTAATGGACTTTTAATTTCTATACGTACTTTGATTTGGAAAAGCCTGCACGATCGTTACGTAAGGTAACGTTTCCTTAATTGCTTTCTCGTCAATTAGTATTATGATTTTTTCTAGATCGGAAGACATCGCGTGAGAAGAGGAGAGGACAAATAGCTCGCAATCGTGCGCGCTCTTTTCGGATGCAGTTCAGAAAGTGGCGTTTAATTCGATATTTCCTATGGATCCGACGGTATATTTTTAGCGAGCGATCGTTCGGAGGCAGACAGAGAAGCGAGAGAGATGCGATGCGATGGCGAGTGTTTTATATCCCACATGAAATAAAATTGTCATGTGCGCACGCACGTAGCATCATTTTTCTCATCAGCTGTTGCGCTCTGCGCTCCGGCAGTTGCAGTTGCGCGCCGCCGATCCGCAATTTTCGTATTAGTCGCAATAGAAGTACAATAATAATAACTGTACTTCAATCGCATGTAATGGCCTCGTGTGTTTGTGTGTGCGCGCGCGTCTACACACATACGTGTGTCGAACTTGGAAAATGTATGGACAAATAGTCGAGCTGGCGCGCGTATTGTCGGTAATTTTTTCTGCTACGCTCGTCAGCCTCCGAGGTGCATTAAAGGCAAGTTTGAAAAGTATATTATCGGTTCGCGCGCGGCATTGTTCAAGTGCAGCTGCTCTTGCCGCTACGCTTGGCGCCCGTAGCCGCGCTATTGCCGAAGGAATAAAAAAAAAGGCGAGCTATTTTTCAAGGATCGGGCCGAATCGATCGCACAACTCGTTGTTTGTTGTCGGGTGCACATTACGCATCGTCGTCCTTTGACCACTGGCAGGCTCGGTCGCTCGTGTGCAACTCTATATCATTACGATTCAAAGTTTTGCACGCGCGTCTCAGCTGTATACAACGACTCACCTCGCCGCTAAACGGTAAAAACTTTTTTCGCGACGCTAATCGCATTCGCGGGCGGCTCGTGCTTACGTAAAGTCACAAGCTCCGAGGCACGAAAGTAGCCGAGAGCTTGACTGGGATCTAATTGATTTGCAGCAGCAGCAGCAGCAGTCGATTTGCATCGCGTCGCGGAAGAGCGATAAGAGGACACGATTCACGTTAGCATCGTGCGCGGATGATGCCGATCGATTATCAAAGACGCGCGGACCGATCGGATAAACAAAGCCGTGGCTCGCGATTTGACAATCGCTGTCGAAATTGGTAAGCACATTATTCGACGCGAGTCAGAAGCGTCGTTTACATCGATAAAAAATAATCGTAAAAGCTCGTTGGAATATTTACCCTCAAGTGAAAGGACGACCTGTTTCTCTCCGTCTTGGACATGATGAAGGAGCGTTGCCGTGGGCACTATACAAGTTAAAAAAACTGGCACAAAAATATTCGCAGGTGCTCGCTCTCGTGTCTCTGCGTGCGTTGTGTGGAGCTGCGTGCGCGGGCGGCTCGACTGGAGCTGTCTGACTGACGGACGCTCTCGCTGCTGCGCGACTCGTTATTAAACTACTGTGTGTATACCACTGGAGCACGCTGGGCCACGAAAAAAGCCTATCTCTTTTTCTCTCTCTCTTTCTCTCTATCTTTCTTTCTCTTTCTGTACGTATATGATACGAGCCCGCAGACTGACACACACGCTACTGCTTCGATGTGTATGTATACGTAGGTGTGCGTGTCGTCTCTCTCGCTCTCTTTGGATCCGAGCTCTGAATTTGTACTTGCGTGCGATATCGAACGAGAAACGAGCACTGGAGCCTTCGCCGATTGGCTGTTGGGTACGAAACTGAGGCTCGAGCGAGCTCCACACGCACCTATATCTTTCTTTCTCTCGTGAGCGCGACCGGCGCTCGCCACGGCACACACACGAGCACGCACGTACACAGTACGCACACCAGCAGCAAAGTATATAAATTTATTATGTACATACACAGAGGCACACGCACACCACTTATCGAGGCGACTTCCCCATTTTTCGATTGTGTGTATATATAGATATACAGAACTCGAGCCGCATGCATGCGTGTGTAAAATGCGCGGACAATACACAGACGTGCCCCAATACGTACGATCAGTACTCGTAGGCACGGGTGACGGGGGCCCCCTTCAAGAAAGCCCGAGCCATTCCGCGCTAACACATGTTTACAGGCAGCTTTGTAATATTAATACATGTACAGTACAATCGCTTGCACACGCACACACACATATTATTGGCGCTCGCATAGACGCGAGACAGGAACGAAGATAATAACAACAATTGCGGAGCCGAGTGCTCTCGGTTCTCTAACGGGCTTTGGACTAGGGTTCCGGAGCATATACATAGACCGGTTGGACAGCTGTCTCCTCCTCGCTTGGCCTACTTGGGCCGATTTCCTGCCACCGCGCCGACTTCTCCTCGGATCCGAACGTCGAATTATAATATCGACACGTGGTCGCCGTCACGGCTGCTTAGTTCATCGTTGTTATACTCGCGGCAGGTGATCTTGGAGTACGACGCGCCCGCACGTTCCCAAACTCTCGTTATCGTCGAGACTCGTGACGATCGCTTTTTCCCCGACGATACCTCCATGTCACGATGATTCGTTCGATACCGCGCTTTCGTCGCGATCTTTATCGATTATCGTATGGCATGTGCAATCTGTGCTGCATTCTTATGTCATGCACCGTGAGCTTGTCTCGTACACAGGGCAAAGGTCCCCGGCAAAATTGACCTCGGGAACAAAAGTCTCCCATGGCCTGGCTCTTGGAAAAGACCCATTTTGGAGAAAATGATTATTTTCTCAAATAAATTTTTTTTAAAAATTATTAGTAGCCATTTTTGTGATTAATAAACAAGTCTGCCAGTAGATAAACAAAGCCAGAATATATAATTGTAATCTTCCCAATGATACTTGTTATTTTGCACAAAGTGTACCTGCATTAATTATCAAAACACTAGAGATTTTTTGAATGATCGAATAATAAACAAACAAAATTTCTAAAGAAACTTCGAAGCTTCTTTCGATAATCAATTTTAATGTTTTGAACTCATTATTGGAAAACTCGATTGTATACCATGAGAAAGCTGAAGAAAACCGCATAAATGCTGTATTTTTATTTTGTTTTCGACTTAAATTACAATGTTATACACGCGAGATATTATTACAGCGAGCCTCACAATACTGAAATCCGCGTGGCTGAGCTAGTCTCGCGTATTTTACGTACTTTTTAATAGAAATACACATTGAAAACAATCCTATAACCGATGTAAAAAGACCTCATCTTCAGAACAAAATAACAATCGGCAAAAAGTGTCATTCTTCGAGATATTGAGCTATGTATGTTTGCTGGCCATTTTTCGGTAACAACATCGGAAAAATTAAGAAATTTCCTAGCAAAATCATTAGCCGGTTTTTTTTATTTTTCTAGACTTTGAGTTATGTGACCAAATTTTTCCCCGAGGCAAACCGCCAGAACAGATCACGAAATTAGCCCCATATGCACGAATGCGTTAGCGATCGGATTTCCTCGAAGAGATTTCAGCAAAGACAGAATTTTTCGCCACGTTCAACGCGTGAATGTATGATAAAGTAAGTTGGCAGTTGTATTACAAAAAAAGGTGTGAAAAAGAGCTCAAAATCCTCATCATTATCTCACGGTTTTGCAACCTGCGTGTATATTTGAACGAGGCAGGCGCCTACATTTAGAGCAATATAATGAGTACATAAAATGTTTATTGAACAATAAAAATCTCGGTAACATGGTTCTGATTGCGAATCGTCGAGAGCCCCTCTCAAAGCTACGAATAAGAAGATGCTCGATAAAGACTTGAGCTTTTATATTTACAAAAAAAAAGAAGATTGCCGCATGATAATCGAATAATTACAATTCAAAAAAGGCTCGTACATAGCAGTATTACTAAAGTTGTATAAGTAATAACGATAGCAACAAGTTTGCAATTCTACGGAAGATATCTGCGTACATACCGAACCGGACGCGAATCGTTAATGATAGAGCAAGACTGCTTACGACTCGACAATTTCGTAATTACATTGTACATATCGAAGCTTTCGTCGCTTATATATAGAAGCTGCGGACGCGTCTGTACACAATATCTTGGGCGCTATGGCTCGAATTCGCACGCGAGTTACTGCCAATTTTCTTAATTCCATGCGTACAATAACGTAATTGATTACTGTGTGATTTAGTTTTACGGATGACGAGTTTGGTAGTTCTGAGCCATCTTTGGACCATTCAAGCTAATTAATTGGAGCACAAGAGATCGACAAGACTGACATTCAGTTAATATAATCAAGCCTAAAGTTCATTTAATGATGCATTAAGCAAAATTTACGATGCGTTCTTAAAAAAATTTATAAATAATATTAATCGAGCTTTATCATTTGAAATATAATTTTTCAATACTTTTCAAATTTTTTTATTGAATAATTTATATATGCAATCGGTAAAATACTCGATTAGTTTTTGCGACTATCTGAAATCAAGACAAAACAAATCTAGGACAATCCGATAGAGTCGTTCATCTGGTTTTATCAATGTTTACATACAAGTATGAATATTGCGTCCAATAATTCCATTAGTTACTTAAATGCACTATACGCAACGACAACATCGTGTTTTTACAATTTTATTTAATGCAAGCACGTGCGTATGACGACAATGCGTTGCGAAATATACATAGGAAACGGCCAACGACCCTATTTATACCGTCATTCGTTGGTGCCAATATATTTACTGTTTCAACTATTCTGTTTTAACCTTATCTGTTTGAATAACAGTGCCGAATAGTTTTGGCAAATTTATTACTTGTAAACAGATTTTTATATAAATTACTTTTTGATGCTCACGTCCGCTATTTTCTTTTCAAAAGTTTGTACAAATGGTTGTGATATAAAAATTAGGTTAATACTAAGTCATGTGATTCTTAAAATTTTATTATCTTGAATGAGTCGAGACTAAACTAGTGGAAGTCGGCACCTATTGAATAGAAAAAAGACATCAGAAAGAGGCTTATCAAACTTGCGTATACGGAATCAATGTCGATATGAGAACATTATTTTTATTTCAAGTACTATGAAATCTTTGCTTGGTGATACATTTTGTCATTTCTACGGAGCTTGCGAGGAATTCAAGAAAAAATTTCAGAAAATAGCATCGTTCGAGTAAACACGGCCTGCGAACAAAGCATCTATAATTATCATGATAGTGTAATATTTTTGAAAAAATTCAAGTTTGTAGAAGTACGCAAATTTCCAAGCAATTAACGGACCAACTCAAAGTACTTGATTGTAAAATTTTACAACAAAAGAAGTCATTCCTAAATTGTCTGCCCATGAGTTGAAGGCTTACTGAAAGAGCACAATTATCGAAAGTGATATATGGCACAGGTATTCGAAACAAGTGTATCTTTCCATCGGCTCGAGCACGAGCTTCTTTGGAAGTCGCAAGCGAGCAGTGATTTTTACTCAATTGTTTTCAGTGGCGAATATCGCGAGCAATTAGCGCCGGCTAGGAGGCATCGGTTGAAATATAAGCTGATCGAAGAATATCATGCATTAGCGCCGATTATCGATGATCGGCCCGATGGCTATCGGAAAGACCGTCCGAGTTAGAGCTCGATTTACTTACGCACTCTATTGCGTCGTCATTTGTTCATTCGTATCTTTTATCGCAAAGATCGACGCACCTACGGCACGTATACAATTTGGGCCTAGTTGCAAAGATTCATTATTGTTTTTTTTATTCGCGTGCAGCTGTAAGCTTAAACTTAATGAAATCAAATTGCTTCAATTGCGATAGCAAATCATTTAATTTAAATTATTTCAAGATTATCGTTCGGAGCTACAAAAACACTCCTTATCTCGGCTGCGCACTCTTCGTGAAAATAATAATAATACGAATGTAGTGGTTTTTACGATTATAAGTTTCGCTTTTGGAGATAAATTCTACGTCCCCGCTAAATCTCAAGCGCGTAATCCAGAGAAAAAAAACCCAACGCATTTGTGCCGCCATGATTTACAAAACAAATTGACGAATCTTTATATGCATATGAATTTTGAGTAATCGTTGCTGTACGTACCCCATCCTTATCTGTGGAGCGTGGCTGCTTGCAAATTGACAAAAAAGTGCTCAAGTTAGTCCAAGACAAAACAGTTGTTAAACACAAAACGAAATTATTTTTCAACATAATAATACATAATAGGAGTAACGTTAAACATTGCCTTGCGCTACAATTGACACTTGTACTTTATTATACATCCGAGATTATGCAGACGCGCGTGACAGTCTCCGCATGCTCGCGTACGCATGTAGGCTTATAATAATACATATGCCTGATGCGCACCGAGCAATGGGCTTATTTACTGCATTAAGATAAGTACAAGATTTTGTTTGAATTTTAAAATAGTCGCATATATAATACGCCTACCTTGTCCGACGGAGCTAGAGCCGTGGGCGTCGAAGGCTGCTCTTGATTTTCTTCTCTCGACTGTTCCCCGTGAGCAAATTTATCAGGAAAGAGTCAAACATTTGATACATTTCTTTTTATTTAAGAGTCAGTGCTTTGTAATCAATTTCCGTAAATAAAAAAACCACGATCTTCAATATTATGCACATCTATAATTATTGTTATTCAATGAATCAAGATTGTTTGTAGTATTAATAGCTTACGTTGAGTATTGTTTGTTCGATTATGTATATAAGTTGTGAGGCTTGATTTACTGATTAATGAACATTTTACTTAAAGTTTTCTTTAAAGAGTCAACAAAAGAAGTGCACAATATTATTTACTTAGCAATAAGAATATTCAATTATTAATGTTAATCAGCAATCATTTACATGCAGTTTTCATGATTGTGTCTTTTTTC